CCCCGCCGCAGCCGCCTACCACAAGCAGGTGTCCCTGTCGCACGTGTAGGAGGCCGCGGCCCGGAGTGAGGGGGAGGGGTGTTTTGTTTGGAAGCTTTGCCAAGGTCACTTCCGTTTACCTTCCTGGTGCTGACGCCCCCTCCTGGGCCAAGCGGGAGCGAGGGGGAAAGGGCCCTTTCCAGGGAGTAGCTGTCCCGGGACTTCTCAGAGGGGCTCAGCTCACGTGTATTCTGTCTTGCGTTTCTTGCTGCCTTCTTTAAGAGAACTCTGTTTTTAATTTAATATGTATTTTTTCTTAATTTTTAACTTTGTTGCATTTTGGCAACAAAATTTACCTTTGCTTTGGGGGCTTTACAATCCTAACATTGGCATTATCATGAAGTTCCACTTGATTGAGGTTTCTTTGAAATGTGTGGCCTGAATTGGAAAAATATATTTCCTATATTTGTGTCTTTTTGACAAATGTGAACAGTGCAAGTGTGGGTTACTATGACTGAGAAATTGATGGGTGTGCTTTTTCAGCTTGTTTCTCCTCCTGCTGCTGGCAGTGTCCAAGGTGTTTTAAGGTGAGCTGCTTGTCCCTGTTTATGAAACTCCAGGTCATGCCAACGAGGGCAGAATGTGGTTAGGGCCTCCCCAAAGCGGCAAGGTTAGGGAGTGTCAGCGACTGTTTTCATTCTAGCTTTGTTTAGTGAGCTTCGGGGGTTGTTTCTGTAGTACTTGTAACCGTTCTTATTCTTAGCAGCACCAGCTTTTTGAATAAGTTAGAGGTAGCCCTCACAGCGCCCAGCAGAAATACTTGGAGTAGTGAAGACCTACCGGATGGAAATCGGTTGAGCTTGAATTCTAGACTGATAAGATGGCAGCAGCTCTGTGCCAGAGGAGTGGGTGGTTCTTAATAGGCTTCAGTGATCCCATCTTTTTTTTTTACAAAACAACTTGTGCTATAATTTGGTAAAAGTAAACTCACTCCTTCTGGAACTACTTAGTGATAGTTGCTAAAGGGGGCTGTTTGTAGGTTTAAGGACTAAAATGGATATACCTCCAGTAATTAAGTAAATTTCCAACATTTACTTGCTCCACCCCCACTCCACCTCCTTTATCATGTTAAACAGTCTTTTTGCTTTTCTTTTGCCTCCTCCAGGAGAGCTCTGATTAGAAACCACACCCACCCTCCAACCAGGTGCTTGAACTGGGGGAGGGAAGCTGGCTACCTGTGAACAAACATTGGCAGCAATGAGAGAAAATAAGTGCCCCTGGATTTTGGATTAGTGTACAGCCAGATATTCCAAAAGCGGCAAGACATTGCTCTCTGGGGTCTCTGAAAACAATTGAGGCCCATAACACACTTGCATTAGGTGTACCGCTGTAGCAGGAGGAAAGCTGTTTCTCCAGCCCCCACCTCAAGTACATTTTTCTTTCCCCCTTTTTTTGAGAAAGCCCATGAGTTGAACGCATACATACACTTTGCTGTAAGAGGATTCTGTTTGCTTTCCTAACTTAACCATTCATATATGGAAGCCTATATGATGAGTATACACATAGATTTCTTTACTATTAGAAAATTCTGTTTACTTTCCTAATCTGTTGAACCATTCATTCATGAAGAGTGTGAGGCCGTGACTGGGGAAGAGGGTGATGGGACATTGGCCAGCAAAATGCCAATGACCAAGGTTGAGTGGGGCCTAAATTTAGGAAGCTCAAATGGCAAAAGCAATTAAAATTTGAGAACGTCTCCCTAGGGAAACACGTCTAGGGAATTTATGCTTCATTTATACCAAAGTTGGAAAAGTAAGATCGAAGCCCAGTTTAGTTTCTACTTCATGGATATTAAGTAAACAAATGAATAGTTCCCATAGTGAATTTAAACACTTTGCTGGGGGTGTGGGGAGCCTGGTATTACGGTTTTAAGGACTCTCAAAAGCTGTTCAGTTATAAAAATGCACTGCTCCTACATACTCAAAATTGAATCCGTTCTCAGTGAATTTGACCAAACCTAGTACACACAGCCGAGAGAACTTTTTGCACATCTTATTCCTCTGCTTATTCAGATGCCTCAGAACCTTGAGATAATTCCCGAGAGCCCATTCTTCTCCTGTTTTTCAAATGAGGACCTTTTCTGAGCACCTTGACCTCTTCCCACACTTAGTATATTTTCCCAGAAAGGGCAGATGGTTCTGTTGTCTTCAGTCACTGTGCCTAATTTGGATTGTCCCCCCTGCCCTTTTCTTTGTGGAGGAATCTAGAAATGATGCACTGTGTATCTAAAAGTTGTGGGATGAGTGGATGAAAGTAATTCTTCATTGAAAAATTTTTTTCATTTTGGCAACATGCCCAACTTAAAAAGAACCACCAATTTACTTTAAAAAATAAGAAGTTAACACAAAGCATACTAGGCCCAGGAAAAGAAATACAGGTAATGCTTCCTGGGGTCTACTTTCAGAGCTGCCTTTTGGCTTTCAGTCTGTTTTCAGCCTCGCTCTCCTCCTTTCCCTCCAGGATAAAGCCCACCTGCTTCCCTGAAATCTCACTAGTACCTACCACCCCAACCCCTACCCAGGGGAGAGCAGCCGAGCTATTTATGGTCATTCCCTATTTCCAACCGGCACATTATCTCTCCCCCCATTTGCATTTTTATTATGCAAACAATTCATACTCATGAGAACAGTGATAAAATGAAAGGTCGTGGGGTGGTTTAGCAATTTCTTCCCAGCCAGCTTTGTGAAATTGGAGAGGACTAGGGACTTCTTTTGGCCGCACATGTGCAGCCTTGGGGCTGTTCCTTTAACAGTTCAGTTTTAAGCAATGTCATAACGTCTAGGTTAGCGGGGTAAGATTTAGAAGGTTGTCCAAAGGAACTAATGTGACCTCTCAGTGAATCAGTTGTCATGACCTTAATTTATATTCTTTCCCTCCTCACATTTTGAAGTTGTCTAAATCGACAAATAATTTTTCTTGGTGCCTTATTGGTTTATCCTTGCAAACCTTTTGTCATATTTTCACCTGACCACTTCTAATGACGGGCCTGTGCAAGTGTGTTGTGTGTAATTGTGCGCATGTACAAGCTTAAATAATGTGCCGACAGCACTGTTTCCAAACTGGTATTCATTAGGCTGTTTCCTCCTGGGCCAGGGCTGCACTAATCCTGACACCGGCCGCCAGGAGCAAGCCTCATGGATCCCACACCGAACCTTAATAACAGCATCCGTGACCTGCACTGTCAAGAACAGAATGGGACCCCCAGAGCTAGGAAATGTAGTTGTATATTTTAATGAACTGCTACCCCTGCTAAAGAGGCTTCTTTCACTTTTGTGCTCTACAGAAAAACCAAGGGGGGTAGAAGGGACAAAGCTTTGAATAACTGCTTTCTAACACCGAATGTGGCAAACAGGACAGAGCACATCACAAATCTAGGCAGGTGTGAGGTAGTGTGGCTGAGATTTGCCTGCTCCCTCTGCATGTCCTTTCTTGCCTCCAAAGTCTAATCAAGTGATCTTGGGAAAGAAATGCCTGAGTTGGGGAGGGTGGTTCTGAAAGAAAAAGCTACGAAGACATTAAAGCAGGGTGAGGGGTAGGCAAGTCGCTAAGTAACCTGACTCAGAACTCGAAAACCTTCTAGCAGCTTGATGATAATTACAGGATTGATTTCAGCCAGGGTAATGCCTGGGGTACATCATTTTATGACAATATTGCTTCATGTTGTTATAAACTGTATGTATAGTATGTATGTGATATGGGTGTGTATATACATAATATATATTACATATATATATATGAGAGATTTAGTGACTTTTGATACGGGTTTGGTGCAGGTGAATTAATTACTGAGCCAAATGAGGCACATACCGAGTCAGTAGTTCGAGTCCAGGGCATTTAAAGGGCATTTGATACTTTTTATGATTTCCATGTATGTATAGTGCCTATCCCATGCAGTAGCTTCACAAAGACATCTCCAGAACTCATGAATCAGAGCCAGCGATATTTTTTTTGTAGACAATCAACTTGAATCTATAAGTTATTACTGGCAGATAATTATAATTGAGACCATAGCATTAACAAATGGAAACCCAGAGCATCTTGAGTTCTTTTTTTGTTTTGTTTTGATCCTGGAAGTCAATAGAACAGCTGTGTATGTGGTTATGTTAGTCTCATGATAATTTGCTGACCTTATTATTTCAGAAAAATTTTGTGTGTATTATATTTGTGGGAAGGTAAAATAATGCTTTGAGATTTTTATCAAATATGGAGAGTAGTTATTTATGAAAAACAAAGAAATGTCTATTTTTGTTTCTTTGTTCCCAACTAATGTAGATAAATTTTAAAGTGCATTAAAGCAATGGTAAAGAAAATGAGATGCTGTACAAGTCTTTTTCTCCTCATGCTTCTATGGAGACACACTGCTTTCTAAGAATATCTGAGGAGATACATGGATTCCAACTTCATAATCAGATTTCTCAGATGTACTTAAAATATAAATGGTAATATTTTTATTAATAAGAAAATCAAGCAAATTCCAATCACCAGAAACAGAACTAATGGAAACTTGTTTTACTTGAATATATTTCATGGGTTTCTCCTGCTGATCCTGTTATTATTTCATGACTCACTTGAAGAAATGAAGGGAAATGCATGGAAGAGCAGACATTGCCTGAGACTGTTCTATCAACCCTCCATCTATCTGTATACCAGCAATTTTTTATCTCATGGCACACATAAATTACTCAAATTTTTGGCATATCAAAAATATGTATTTTGCCAATCTGACAAAAAATAGATATAACCTTGATTAATTTACCAAACATAATAATAATAATTATCTACCCTTTTTGCTCCAAAGTTGACTTTTAAAAAAATCAGATGCCTATCCTTGTATATAAGAATTTCTGGTACCAAGAATTAACCAATCAAATGCAACCTTATTATTCAATTTAACCAATAAGTTGCAACTCTATCATATGACCTATATATTTATGGTTCCAGAGAGGGTATTGACACCAGACAGCAATTGAGTTGGCTGTTGTCATTTTTTTATCTGACAGTCTAAGAGAAAAGAGGTCAGTGTCCCTTATTAAATAGTCAGGTATTAAATGCTTTAACAATTCTTATGATTCACCAGTTGAAAATTGCTGCTCTATACCAAAACCTATCTGAGTAGATGTTTGTGCTGTTGTTCTATGGGTCTAGTTGGGGAGCAGGAACTCCCCAAACTATTCCATCATTCACCAGTTAGAATCACAACTTGATATTAAGCCATAAATACAAGTCAGGAAATCCAGATAAGAGTTTAGAGTTGGCACCTTCCTGATAATCTGGGCAGATGCTTTGTAAACCTGAGATACTTTTGTCAGATTTTCTTACTTTCTTATTTTGGCAAGGTACAGATTAGCTACCAATCTACCTCATGTGAATGCCTGGTATGTCTGTTCTCCAGCAGTGCACTGAGGCATAAGTATGGGAGAAGATAGGTAATTAGGAGCTTATAATGTTTAGGGGAGATAAGTCCAATATTAGAGTATACATAACTCAATGTCAGCATGAGTGCTGGGAACATGATCAGATTGGTTCGTTTGTAAGTTAGGGCAGTTGGGAGAAGAGAGGATACAGTGTTGAGCTGGATCCTAACGGAAGAGCATCTGTACCTGCTTGTACAGGACTCTCCAGTTGGCACCTCTTCCCAGTGCTTTCTCATTGCTCATTCCCCTCCTCCTCCGATGGAAAGGGAGGAAAGGGCAAAGTCACAAGCTGGAGCAAAGGGACTGTTGGGACTTAGACACTGGAGAAAGAGGCGGGCCCAGTGCATTACTGGTAATAATGCTTCCTTTAGTGATTTAATTACAGAGCTTTTCTGTTTGTCATGAGTGGAAACATGATTGAGAGGCAGCAGCATGTTTATGTGCATAGACTTTGACACTAGACAGACTAGGGAATCTAATCCCAGTCCCACCATTTAAGGGCTGTGTGATCCTGGGCATTTTAACCTGTTAGTACTTCAGTTTTCTCATCTGCGGGAGGGTAATAATATACTCATATCTTGGGATTTAGAGGATCTAAAGGATTAAATCAGGTAAGGCAAGATCAAGGTAAAGCAAGGTAGAAGACACTGTTCAGGCAAGGAATAGAAAGGTAACTGAAACACTAGATTTCCAAATTTGAGTAAGAATCATTTGAGACGACTGAACATTTAGATTCCTAGGCTTCAGCTTTAGGAATTGAGATTTGGTGGATCTGGGGCCCAAGAAACTGCTGCTTGCTTATTTTCTTTAGGTTTACAAAATAGTCGCAAAGATAATTCAGAGTTCCTATATACCGTTTCCCCCTAATGTTAACATAGTACAGTACACTTGTCTAAACTAACAAGTCAACATTGGTTTCATTACTCTCCAGACTTCATTTGTATTTCACCAGAATTTCCACCATTATTCTTAATCAGATTTAGAATCCAATCCAGGATTCTACATTCCATTTAGAGAAACTTTCACAGGCACTTGCAGTTGATGAGAGGTGGTCTGGGGACATCTTGAGGAACGCTAGATGTAAAGGACTAAGCAAAGTCAAATTGCCCTATCCCAACATTGGGGAGATGAATGCAGTGTTTTTTATTTCAGAGAGGAAGGGAGAGGGAGAGATAGAAACATCAATGATGAGAATCATTTATCAGCTACCTCCTGCACGCTCCCTACTGGGGATCGAGCCTGCAACCCAGGCATGTGCCCTGGTCAGGAATCAAATTGTGACCTCCTGGTTCACAGGTCAATGCTCAACCACTGAACCGCGCACGACAGCCGGGCTGAATGCAGTTTTGAGGCAGAAGATAAGTTGGTGCAGGGTGTGGATATAGGTGTTGATTTTAGAATTGGGGTGGAATCCTCTCGGTTAGATGAGGGGGTCACTTTAAGAAGCGAGACTTCTATTCCTAATGCCACAGGAAATGAGTTTTGGAGTTTGGAATGTGGGGATGTTGCCTGGACTGAGGAGATACATCTAGGGTTGTGGGCAGCTCAGGGGAGTCAGCAAGTGCAGTAAATTGGGAACAGCTGCTTTGGGGGACACAGGAAGACTCAAATAGGGGATTAAAGAGGATTACAAGGGGCAAGATAACCTGTGAGCCATATGAAACTTATATTTGCTGAAACCTGGTGATAAGGCTTTGGAAAAGGGTCAGAGTAGTAACCAACATCAAGTGCTGCCCAGTGGACATTAGCAGAAGGTCAGAGAAAAGGCTGAGAGGATCTGGTTGAGGGTGAGCAAGATCAAGGTAAAGGGTGAGCAAGATCAACTGCAGTGGGAGGGGACAGAACATGGAAGCTCTGCCTTTGGGAGAGTCCGTTCCAGTGAGGCAGTAAAGGGGCCACCGTTTGGGGCCTAAGAGTAAAGATTAGTAGAAGTGAGAAGAGGAGATAAAGTAATGTTTCAAGAAAATGCTAGCAGAATCATTTGAGGTCTTGAAATAAAATACTATTGGTAACTTCTGATGCTATCACAATTTCTCTAACCAAATTACTTAGCTCCCTTTACAAATTACAATAATCACCAAACTTGTTCCTTTTAAAAATATTAACCTTTTTTTATTTGATTCTGGATTCCTCTTAATTTCTAAACTATTTCACTTTCCTACTTCTTTCTGCACCCTAGAAATCCTAAACCACAAACTGGTTTTCTTAGAATTTATTTCACATGACATGGCCTCTCATCTGACAGCCCCATTTAAAATAGCCTCCGAAACCAAGCAGACTGCGCCTCTGCTCTGGGGGGAACAGGCTTTGCTGAAGGGCTCCAACATGCTTTGTGTTGCTTGCTGGCATGGTGTCAGGCTGATCAGGTCGGTGAGTGGGCTAAGTGAAGACTGTAGGTAATCTAATCCTTAGCTTGTTGATAGACGCTAGTATAATCTGCAGATTCTGCACTGAAATGAACACTTACCTGGAGATTTCTCTACCGGCTGTCAAGTGCTTTTCCAAGTAGCTCTGTACTCGAGAATGCAGCTTCTGGGAGAGGGAACAGGCTAGTCATTTTAGATGTGGTCAGGGAGAAGTCTTGGGTGATGAAAGATTTTAGCTAACTTACATGCCAAAGCTAAACATTTCCAAAATCACTGCATTACCCGAATACAGAGTGATTTCTTTTCTGGTAAATACTGGCTTCAGCATTTTTTTTTTTTTAAATCAAGGAATAGTGTATTTATAGACATAGGAAAACTCAACCAAGAAATGGACCATGAGCTGTCATAAAACCAGGATTCAGTGCTGCTGGGCTTCAATAATGTCTGGGCATACGGGATAATAAGAGTAAATAATCTGGAATCTGGTCCAGCATAGAAGAAATTTCTCTTTAAACAGAAACATTGGGCCTTAAGTTGTTTTAGGATGAACCATATGAAATTGCTGATAGGAAATCATCCTGGAATTCCTTTCTCTCTGGGGTGTTTACCTCATTTTACCTTGCAAGTATTAACACAATAATGAATTATTCACAGATGTCATCTAATGCACCATGCCAGTGATTTTAAGTGTAATAAATTATCTTTAGGTTGAAAAGAGCAAAAGACAAATAAATGACTACATCTTAGAGGCAAGGGTCGAACCATCTATGGTCTGTTTAAAAATGCTTTAAGGCCTCACTATCAAAGCTGATGGGAAACATGTAGGTTAGGCAGAGACATAATGCTATGTGAACAGGGAGAAGTGTTACAAACATACTAGCCATGTTTTAATTAAAATAGGGTTTATTAGCTTTTCTTTTAATATAAACATGAGAAAAAACCACGTAAGTTGTAGCATTATTTTCAAAATAAAAATTGCAATCAATACTTGAATCTCCAAGCTCAGAACTCCATAAACAATGTTTTTTTGAGGTGGTAGATTGTAATATTTTATATACCATTATTTTTTGTTTCTATCCTTTTAAGTGATGGAACCTGCAGCCCTCAATATAATGTGAAGCCTTGCTATACTGAAAGTATTCCTTGGCCTAAAAATGCTTTGTTTATAGGCAAAATTTCTAGGAATACATGTGAGAAGGTAGGAGAAATATTTTAAATAGTTGAGAACATTAATCTTTAAAAGTATTTCAAGTTTAGGCGACATTTTACCAATCTCCTAAAAGATTGATTACTTAACTCCCTGCCCTTTAAAGCCTGAGGTAAGAGTTCCTAATATTTGTAGATGCTTCCTCTTAAATAGCAAGACTTACATGGGACACCTACAACCAAGTCAATATGTAGGATAGAAAAGCTGGTTCATTCACCTGTTTTCATAACACTACTTTTAGGGTCCAATTCCTTTCAATTTATTACATCTGAATAACACGGCTCCTCATAATCTTCCTTTACCAGAATTTAGGGAAACAAAACAATTTTGGTGATCAAACCATGTATATAGCACAGATCTGCAAAGATTTATTTTAAAGAGGAGGGCATTCCTATGAAGACACAAGGTATCTCCTACAGTGTTAGTGCAGTTTTAAGCGGTGGTACTTGTAGTATAAATGCTACAGCCTCCAACACATTTGAAAGTTTAAATGTCTCTTAAACTTAGTTTTGTATATTTTAAATATTAAGCTTTTAATTTTTTGTTTCAATCCCCTCTTAAAGATGGCAAAGATAGGCTGAACCAAAAAATTAAAATTTAAATAAACTTTTTGGTTTCATCCAATCTTTTGTCATTTCACAATTCGCTAAACTAAATAAGCAGGATATTGTAGAAATCCTTTTGTCTATTTTTTCCCCTTTGTCTACAATGTGGACATTTAATCTGCAGCTCTGGCAGTTTTATGGGAATTTTGAGAATGGGTATTAAGGAGGGTAGAGCAGAAATACAGAACAAATATACACCTCTGCTGATTTTATGGAATAGCTCTAACAATTCTTGTCTTCCTGCTTCCTATACTTTTTTAAGTATAAAAATGAAAATAAACTTATTGGTGAAAAAACCCAAAAAACTAAATGAGAAATTTAAACTTTCAAATTAAAGTCTGTAGCATTTATACTTCCGTAGGAGTGCCCTGGAGGGCCCAAGCACACTATTATCTACGCTTAGAAATGCACTTGGGGAACACCTATTTCATTATCTGCTTATTATCACTGGATCACCACGTTGGTTGGAATTATGAAAGTATCTTTTGATACATTTATTTAACAAAGAAAGTCATCAGAAAATGAGAAGAATCATTATAGTTGTTTTAAAATCCCATTATAGTTCTTAAGATACGCAGCATGGACCCATTCTAAGTAGATAATCAATACTGACACTTTCTCTTATCCCAAACACGCTACTGTGTTAATAAGTACTACTTGCAAAGAATTTGAATGAGAAGTGTTATTCAGCAGCTTTTTGATTTAAACTGTTTGCCAATAATGACTAGCAACTTCCACCATGTAATATGAAGAATCCTTTAATACCTAACAATGCTACAGTCTGTTCCTAAGTGGCTTTGTGAGTTGTTAGGCGTCCCATGTTTTAATGGTAATACTGCACTGATTGTAAAGGAATATGTAGCAATATTGGGAAGGTTTATTCCTTTTTTGGAGGGGGCGATTCAGAAAAGTAGGAAAGACATATAAGTTATATAGTTAGTGCCTTTTAAGCCTCAAAATTTAAACATGAATTAAAAAAAAAACAACTTCACATAGAGTTCACAGCTATCAGCCTACATTGTAAGCAAATATCTGTGTGGGTTGGGAGCTTTAGCTTTTGAGTGTTTTTTGTAACTAGTTTTTGAGCAGGAGAGGTGCTAATTTCTCCAGTCCTTGTAGATGAGGGAGGGGCTCATGACATTACCACCCCTCCCTTCTCCCTTAAGAGAGGATGGCTTCAGAGCGCTGAACACCAATAAAATTATCAGCACTAAGAGACCGTCTCAGAGCAGCTCTGCACAGGTCTTTGTCTTCGCACAATCTGGAAATAGCCTAGGAAAGGCAATCAAATAGAACACAGGTACAGTTAAAAAAAAAACAAACAAAAAACAAGGGTTCCAACCTTCACAAAAAGCATCACTGATAAGCCACACATTCACACTTCTTTCTCTAGTGCATAGTTACTGCTGCTTTGGGCAGCTGAGGTCTGCACTGCCGGGTTCTGGGGATGTACTTCCTGCTAATTCACTAAGGTGGTAAGTCCTTTAGGGGCTATGATTAGATTGCTAGAGCAAAGGGGAACTTAGAATTATTTAAAAATTGGGTTCTCAAAGAAGTCAAGAACGTAACAGGCTCCTAACAGCAATATCATCTATTGCCTGTACACCTGTTCCTTAAACATAAAGAGCATACACTTGGGCAAATCGGTACTTACTCAGCTATTCAATTTCTATCCAATCTTCATTAGTTATAATATACTCTAAGCAAACTTTAATGAGGTAATAAGAGTGTGCTGTACTTAATGGGAAGGTAGGGAAGGTCTAATGACTGAAGCACCATAAGGAACTATGTCACTTGCACATTAATTATGGTAGAAAAATGTCTTTTTCTAAAGTATCTTCCAGGTACCACAGAAAGTGTCCATTTTAAAAGAGTCCATTTCAGTTGTGAATAATTTTGTTGTATACTCACCAAAAGTCATAAGCCATAAATATTACTTTGCAACTATGTACTTTACCATAACCATTAAAAACCCATGCATTTTCTACACCTAATACTTGAAACACACATTATACATTTTAAGTATATGTCTCCCAAGTTAGCCACTAGTACTAATAAACTCATGGGACTGAACCATGATATATATAGAAAAGACATGAATTTGCAAACTGAATTAAGAGTGGTAAGTAGATTTTGTATGTAGATATGATTAGTGATACAGTTGTAAGAAATTACTTATGTACCATTATAAAGGAAGGGTAGAGATTCAAATGGAAAACCATTAACAGATCAAATTTGACTTAAAACATTCTGAATTATGGTTGCAGAAGAGAACTATAATTTTTTTTTAATGTGAGATCCTTGTAGAAACCATAAGACACATGATGTGAAAGGGTTATAAGCTCTTCTTCAATTTGTTAATTTAAAAAAGCTTTTCACTTTCCTAATCACTGCTTAATATGATTTATCAACAGATAGCTTTGGCGACTGACAGAAGCCCCATTTACTGATTCCACAGCCTTACCTCTAGATTCTGGGCTCTTTCTCTGCTAAGAGGAGCAAATACAAAAGGCAGGTCGTTGTCATCAGCTAAGGAGCGAAGGTCAAAGTAGTATTTGGCAGGAACATTAATATTAAACTGAAGTAGCTCTAAAAAATGCCTTTCCATCTCATTCCTGGGGAGGAGGAGGAGACAAAACCAACACAGGACAATTTTAGTCAATTGGACTACTATCTTCAAAAATATCATTATGAGCTACTGGGATGGCTCTAAATTTTGTTTTGAAACAAGTAAAGGCTACCCGGCTGTATGAATACACTAATGGTCAAACAAGATACAGCTGCTTGTGGTCCTTCCTGCATCCCAGCATTCTGGGTTCGGGACAAGGGGGAAGAGGTGACGGCCCTCTGTGCACTTGTGCTGCTGACTCGGGGCTCATTCTTCAGAGTTCCATTAGTGCAGCTGTACGCTTCCTGCTCCTCGCTCACTCACCAGGCCCCACTATAGTGCTCAGATGAAAGGAATGATGTATGCTGTTTATTAGCTCTGAAGAACTTGCAGACATTTTCACCAGGCCGATAACAGGAAGGGACTTATTGAAGTAGAGAGGCGCCAACAAAAGGAGTGGGCACATCACCACGGCAACAAATGGATGCATCGAGAGCCACTGCTATTATCCCTGAGGGGGAAAACTCTTGAAGCAGCAAGAATTCATCTCAAATAAATAAATAAATAAATAAGCCACATTCGATAGGAAAGCCTCCCGCTACCCCAGTGCATGGGGCTAATGTCAGAGAGCCTAATGCAAGTTTTTATTCACCTTCATCTTATGGGGTGAGCAACTGTCACTATGATAGGTCAGGATGCACTTTTTAAACTGGATGGCAGAGCCCTGACCGGTTTGGCTCGGTGGATAGAGCATCGGCCTGTGGACTCAAGGGTCCTGGGTTCGATTTCAGTCAAGGGCATTTGCCTTGGTTGTGGGCACATACCCAGTGGAGAGTGTGCAGGAGGCAGCTGATCGATGTTTCTCTCTCACCGATGTTTCTAACTCTCTGTCCCTCTCCCTTCCTCTCTGTAGAAAATCAATAAAATATATTAAAAAAATAAACTAGATGGCAGAAAGATTACAGACAGATGTCTTGGCTGGACTAAACCCACTTTACGATATGACTTCTGATAGAGCAATCGACTCAAACTCCAACCTGTTTCTCCCATGTTGGGAATGCACAGCATTGACCTGAGGTGCTCAGCATCCACCCCCCTTGCCAGACAGACGGAAACATAGCCACAAGGCGTGAGCTCAATCAAGTGTGGAAGGCAAGTTGGGAGAGTGCTGTGCTATGTGACCACACTGCCATCATCTGCCAAGTGTTTAAATATAAAATTAGAGTACATCATACTACTTCTACAGAAATCCCTTGATAGAACTAATTATATAGAAATAATACCTAAACAAACATGAGACACTTAATTTTTTAATATATTCATTTTTTTAAGCTTTAATAGTTTATCCATTGGACAGGTCAACAAAGGCTTGATGTTCTGCATGGAGAGCAGTCAGAATATGAGCAGAGATGAGGTTTTCTCATTTGGTGAACTTTTAACCTGACTGAACCTAATTCCAAAATTAATTTCCTATTCATATAGCCATAAGCCTATAGAAATGTAAATCAGATAATGTTTCGATAATCAGATAATTGGGTTAATTGGGTCTTAATTTACTACAGGAATAAATGCACTTCAGTATCCCTTTTATGTTTTCTCCACTAATACATTTATTTGTGTAGAAATACAGTACTTCATAGGATTAACATGTCTATTAATAGAGGTCTAATGACGGAAGGAAAGCATTATGCCTACAGAATATGCATATTCTGTTGTTTTTTGTTGTTGTTTTTTCAATGGCTAGATGGTTGAATAGCATACCATTTACAAGCACAGCGTATTTTCTGAATAGCAGCTGCTCAGTTTAACTTATTCTTTTGAAGGTAAATATATTCAAAAAAAGACAAATAGATATTGGAAAGTTTAAGAAAAAGCAGACACAATTTTTCAATTTAGACTCAAAATGAGATCATTACAAATAGTAGTCAACAGCAGGAGGATGAAAACAGTGTATACTAAACACTGTTGTAATGCCTTCCATTTTCAAAGATCAAAAACAAAAGCAGCCTATTATAAACATAGCTCCTGGTGTTTCTGTTCATATACAAAAAGCATTTGTTTACTACTAGTCGCTGGGTAGCTAGACATTGCCACCATTGCCTCTGGGGCTCACGTCTATGAAAACCCACACATTTCCTTGTATGTTCTGATGTTATAACTAGAGCCAGAGCACCAGCCAGTTGAGGTGCAGGTTTTGAGAAAAGTTCAGCTATCATCATGGCAGGGCTAGTGTTAATGATCACAAATTCTCCATCCTTCAGGGGACCAGTTTGAAGACCCATGACAATGATGATCAAAGTCACTTTAGCTTCTGCAACTCCTTAAAGTACTTCCATGTGTTTCAAATTCATTATTTGCTATCACACTGTTTGCTAAGAACACTACCAGCAATATCACCAAAACTACTCAGTGTATACTATTATCAAAGTGGACATTTGCCCCAAAAGCCACTTTGACAGATACTGACAATCGCTGGGGTCCCTTCTCTTGGTCACAAGTATCCTCACTTCAGTTGTAAATATGAACTCTGGTGATTCTGAATGAGTCTTATCTGGAGTAATGAGCAAAAGCAACACAAACAAACTTTTGCCTCTGCCTGCTCTTCTTATGCTGTTCAATTATTATCAAGAGGAATTCTTTCACATTTTCCTAAATGCCACCGACAAAGAAAGACATTTTCACTGTCAGGTGGGCAGTTGGAGAGTCTGCTGGAAATACCTTTTGGCTCATCCTGCCCACCAACCTCAGGACCCTTCAATGTGGCCAGATCAGATGCCCATGTTAAGTTTAGTGTTTCACTCTTATGCTAGCATGCCATCTCTAAGAAGCACACCCTCATGGTTACCTACAGCCCCCACAATGCATTGCTGTGGTTGCTGAGTGCCGCAGGAAACTCAAATGGCATGGGCACTAAGTCGTGCCCAGTGATGCTTTGCCAACTGACTGAGAGGTAGGAGTTTCCTAACTCATCAGACCTATTTTTAAACACTTGCAATCCTTTTAAAAGGGCAGGCAAGAGCACAGGGATGAAGCCTTTATATGCAGCTAATTTTCCATCATGGTTTAACAACTGAACTTCAGATAAAAAGGAGGGAAAGACCAGTTAAAGCAAATATACAATGCGTGACCTAGGTTTAAGCTATAACCTCTCAATAGTCTAGTGGCCCTAAGACATTAACAGTGGCCAAGCATTTATTTCAAGGGTTGGATGTATGCCCCTTAAAAATGGACTGGATCTAATAGATGGCTTTAAGAAAGTCACAGAGATATTTACTCTACTGTTGTTCTTGTAGTGAGCTTGTAAAATGTTTGTCAAAAACCACCAGAGACATAATTATCAAACAGACTAGAGACCCGGTGAACGAAATTAGTGCACAGGTAGGGTCTCTAGGCCTGGTCAGCGATCAGGGCCGGCTGGGGCCTCACTTCGTTCTATGCCATTCTCACAGTCTGGGAGCCCTCAGTGGTGGGAGGTGACCCGGCGAACAGCGGAAGGCGATGCCCCCATCACACCTCTGCTGCTGCCACTGCCAGCAGCGCAAGCCTCAGCCAGCCCTGGTTACCTGAGCCTCGGGTGGCCCTGGGCAGCTTCGGGGACTTCCGGGACTAGGGGACTCCAGAGGTGGGCAGGCCTGGCCTTGCCATGCACCTGCCACCCCGAGGGGACTGGGCACCACCATCTTTGAGGGTGTGGCAGTCAATTAGCATATTCCCTCCTTATTGGCTGTGGGCACCACCATCTTTGAGGATGTGGCACTCAATTAGCATATTCCTCTTTATTAGTTAGGACTACAGTAACACATCAAGACCTAATGAATAATGAGGAATATGAATTATTACACCAGATGTATATACAGAAAGAAGTATATAATTTTATGCCTCTTTCAGTGCTCTGCACCAAGTAACCTTTACAAATATTTCTTAACATATAAACTTTATGGGAACAAATGAGGTACTGGAAACTGGTTAGAAAATTCACCAAAACCTTTCAAACTCACATGTCCTCAACGGTAATGTCCTTGAGGATCTGGCAGTAGTCCACATTCCATACAGCCTGGTCATCCCAAACCTTGGAGGCAAGAAGAACGGCTCCCAAAACAATTCTCTTCCAGTTCGTGGGACAAATGTCTATCTCGGCATAAGTTAAAAGTCTTTCTAAGTAAACCTGCAAAAGTAGAGCACTGTCTTTAGTTTCAGATCAGTGTAAGTGCTGTGATAACAACTCTTAGGAATGACAGATTTCATCTATTTTTTAACATGTCTTTTATTCTTAGGTTCTACAGAGGCTGCTTGGCCAGCCAAAGCCAGAAGCCACGTCACAGGTGCAAATCAGATACTTCTGTTGCCTACTTTGCCCATGTAAATTTCCAGCTCAATTTTTGGTCACAGGAATGAATGTACATCTTAGCAAAGGTCCTCCTAAAGAAATGCATTGTATATTACCTCTCCACGTGAAAAGGACAGCATATATAGGCCCAGTGTAGATTCAAGTTGCTCAATAAATACTGGAGTGCCTACCACATACATTATTTCATACCTGCTGGTAGTTATATGGTGATTTTCAAAATACTTGAACATGTAAATTCCTAATAATACTGAGCACATTTCGATCTTCTTTTCACAGAAACTAGTCCTTTTGTGATACAGGCTGAAAATAAAAACTGGGTCAATGGAGCCTCCCAGTGGCTGCTGTGTGGTGCAGCAGGACAGGCAGTACAAGCAGGTGTGCTTAAGACTGGACTGTACAACTGTCAGGTCTTCCTGTTTTAGTGCCTTTTATAAGGAACACACATGCATACAAAGGACAGTCCTTCTCATATCCCCCAATGCTCACATCTCCATGATCCTTTTGTGAAATTCATCTCTGTCTTACATAATCTGAAATTTAGTGTCAATTCTGTTGGAGTCTAGGTGGTAACACAGCTGCCAGCCTCTGTATCCCTGGTACTCCTAAACCTGCCAGGTAGCTTGTGAGATTTCTTTTACATGCATTAAATGTCTATTCTACAAAGAACTCAGAGAAGTTAATGGCTGAGTAAAGATTATAGAGGTAAGCTGTGATTTGTTGTTACCTCAAAGGTTGCTTTGCAGAAGGGTATATACTATGCTATTTGACAAAAAGAAAAAAGCCCAATTTTAAAGAGTATGTTTAGCCCTAACTGGTTTGGCTCAGTGGATAGAGCGTCAGCCTGCAGACTGGAAGGTCTCAGGTTCGATTCCGGTCAAGGGCATGTACCTTGGCTGCGGGCACATCCCCAAAAGGAGGTGTGCAAGAGGCAGCTGATCGATGTTTCTCTCCCATCGATGTTTCTAACTCTCTATCCCTCTCCCTTCCTCTCTGTAAAAAATCAATAATAAAAAAAGAAGAGTATGTTTACTGTCTGAAAGTTATCAGATTGACAGCTCAGATTTGCCAATGTTCTCCAAACTCAACTGTGTTTTCAAAAAGAAATGGTTATGAACATATGTTCTTAGTGAAATTCTGCACTTATTCCCCAAAACTCAGCACTCTAAGAACGAATCTCCTTGCAAGGTTCAATTCTACTTTATAGAAAGTATCAGAGGCACTTACACAACACTGGTATTCTCTCAACTTCCTGTCATCTTTACTGGCAGACTTGGAAGTGCCATTATTCATTCATTCACATCACTTGCCCTCCTGTGTCAGTGGAAGTGACATTACCCTTCTCACTGAAGCTAACTCTTCTATCAGTGAAGTCCATCCCATCCCATCCCACGTCTGCAGAACACTGTTCCCACATTTACCTTTTTGAAGAATACTCTGTCTGCTAATGCTTTCTCTGCATTTGGACAGTTACTCTCGATTCCCTACCTATAGCTCAGATTCATGCTCTAATTCCATATATTCCAATGATCACCAGACACTGCCACCTGCTGTCTCACAGGTACATCTAGCTTAATGTGACTAAAAAGAACTCCCCCCCTCTTCCAGCCCTGATGCTCCCCTTCCTGTATTACCTAGCTCTCTACATGGAAGCACCGCTCCTGCCATTCTCCAGCATGTGCTATGCACTCCAAACAGTTGATAGCTCCATGAAGAGGCTTGTGTCTGACTCAGTGCCTCACTAAAATTTTAACAGGGTACTAAAGGAAGAGGCCTTGACCTCAGTATTCTTTCCTTCCAGACCATGATGTTGACTTTTCCCTTTAGGTTTGCTGTAGGAAGGGGTAATATAATTCTAATCACTTCTCAATAGAATAGGACTTACTCCAAATGATAAAATCTTACCATAGGAATTTTGTATGAATGACACCCAGGTCCTCACACAGCTATAGCTTAGCAGGCAACTAGCAAAGCCTTTTCAGGTACTACTGGCACTATAATCCTGGGCGACTTCAAAGGCAGGCACAAGAGGACAGCAGGGATAGATTAACACCCATCATCCAGAGAGCAGAGAATTTAAAGCTATCATTTTCAAGCAGGACATATTAGAACTGCCTGGGGAATACAACCTGGGACTCAATTTAGACCTACACTGATTCATTCTCTGCTTGGGGACCAGATGGTTTGTATTGCCCCATCCTACCCCACCAGCACACCTTGTATGTGTGCAAGTGTGTGCACTGCATGTGCGTGTGTCTCCTGAGGTGTGGAGGGCAAAAACAGAAATTTCTCCTGCTGCTTTCAATAGCAATTGTTTGTGATGAGAAAAGCAATAGCAACATTTTAAATCATGATTACTTAGCTTGAATTTGTGTATTTTACTTCCTTTGATAGGTTTCTCTTAATAAAGTCTTAGTGATCATTTCAGGAACCTATTTTTATTTCAAAAACAGAACCATACCCTGTGTACAAGACAGAAAAGATGCTTTCTGAAAGAAAAACTATCTTACCAAAGTCACTATCGCACATTCAGCTGTTAGCTGTGCAGCACTGAAGAGGGTCCGAACAAATCTGTAAATAAATTTGTGTTCAGGATCATGCCTAAAATATTCTTCTGGAACTGTTTCTCGCTGAAAGGAGAAAAAAATGCAATATAAGTATCCAGGGAAGAAAAATACCTAAGTGCTCTTATGATAGCGGTCTTCTACTTGTGCCCACATGTCCCTTAAAATAACATTTTTATTGGGTGACATGTCTTTTTAAATTTTTTTTTAAATATATTTTTATTGATTTCAGAGAGGATGGGAGAGGGAAGAGAGATAGAAACATCAATGATGTGAGAGAATCACTGATCAGTTTGCTTCCTGCATGCCCCAAACTGGGGATCGAGCTTACAACCCGGGCATGTGCCCTTGACCCGACTTGAACCCAGGACCCTTCAGTTCGCCGGCCAACACTCTATTAAACTGAGCCAAACCAGCTAGGGCATGACATATTTTAGTCCTTCTAGTTTAATTATGTTGTTGTTGTTAATTTAAAAAAGCTTTTCACTTTCCTAATCACTGCTTAATATGATTTATCAACAGATAGCTTTGGCGACTGACAGAAGCCCCATTTACTGATTCCACAGCCTTACCTCTAGATTCTGGGCTCTTTCTCTGCTAAGAGGAGCAAATACAAAAGGCAGGTCGTTGTCATCAGCTAAGGAGCGAAGGTCAAAGTAGTATTTGGCAGGAACATTAATATTAAACTGAAGTAGCTCTAAAAAATGCCTTTCCATCTCATTCATGTCCTCAACGGTAATGTCCTTGAGGATCTGGCAGTAGTCCACATTCGATACAGCCTGGTCATCCCAAACCTTGAAGGCAAGAACAGCTCCCAAAACAATTCTCTTCCAGTTCGTGGGACAAATGTCTATCTCACCATAAGTTAAAAGTCTTTCTAAGTAAACCAAAGTCACTATCGCACATTCAGCTGTTAGCTGTGCAGCACTGAAGAGGGTCCGAACAAATCTGTAAATAAATTTGTGTTCAGGATCATGCCTAAAATATTCTTCTGGAACTGTTTCTCGCTGAAAGGAGAAAAAAATGCAATATAAGTATCCAGGGAAGAAAAATACCTAAGTGCTCTTATGATAGCGGTCTTCTACTTGTGCCCACATGTCCCTTAAAATAACATTTTTATTGGGTGACATGTCTTTTTAAATTTTTTTTTAAATATATTTTTATTGATTTCAGAGAGGATGGGAGAGGGAAGAGAGATAGAAACATCAATGATGTGAGAGAATCACTGATCAGTTTGCTTCCTGCATGCCCCAAACTGGGGATCGAGCTTACAACCCGGGCATGTGCCCTTGACCCGACTTGAACCCAGGACCCTTCAGTTCGCCGGCCAACACTCTATTAAACTGAGCCAAACCAGCTAGGGCATGACATATTTTAGTCATTTATATATAAACAATGGGATCTTAAAAAATAATAGTGATTCAGTACTCACCACCACCATTCATTAAAGAAAAATATAGGCACAACCTCAGATAATTTATTTGTTTTCCTTCTACCTTCCTGCTACAGAATTTTATTTAAATGTAAGTTATTTTTAAGCTCAAAAGTCTTGATCACCATGTCATGCTTCTCTGCAATCAACTCTGAAAATAATTTTGTTTCCTGTAACCACCAAGTCTAAGGTTGTACTGCTTTATACAGTAATCACCAGCCACATACTGCTATAGAGCATCTGAAGTAGTGAATTTGAAAGTATTTGTCTTTTTAATTAACTTAAAATTTAAATAGTTATTTAATTTCCTTCATAGAGATGTTAACATCTCTATTAAGTTTATTTACAAATATTTATATTGTTTGATGCTACTGAAAATTATCTTTTACAAAGATACACTTTGGGATTTTTTGGATCCATTTACTTATCTTAGCTCACTAATTATACAAAGCTGCAACTCAGTTCTTACTGACATATCCCTTATAAAACACTTCTTTTGTAAAGTAATTAGATACAACATGGGGTGGGGAAAAGAATTTAAAAGAAGATGACTTTGACTTCAACCTGGGAGTAATTTTCTTTTAGTAATTAATTTCAAAGCAAATCAGCATGAAATAAACACAACTGTGTGAGAGAAAAATACAACTTCAATATAAAACTGACTTACTGTGAGTGGATGTGATCTCTCATCAAAAATATCCAAGGATCTATTTGCATCTCTAAAAAATAAGAATATGTTTTTTTAAAACTAATTCAGAAATTGATAATATCTTAGCAACACAACTGCTGGGAGTAGAGATGGGTAGAGGGAGAAGCTTAACCTTCAAAAAGCAGTTTTACAAATTCTTCTCTTGGATTTGGTAAGAGGGTTTCCTGATCTCTTTACTCAGCATTTCAAATTCTGTGAAATCATTTCTATGATGGCTAGCTAGAGTTGCCCTAATATGCATTGACCCTCCCTGACGGCAATGCTAGTGAACCAAATACATTTGCACTCCTCTGACCTCACAGCGGAACACACACAAACATTTTATAATGCGGTAGTAGTAGACAATGTCGCCCTTAGAATTTTAATTCATGTGAATATGAGAGTCATGTTTTTCCCTTTCTTTTTCTCTTACTAGTTTCTTATACACAGACACCCTTCCAGCCCCAGCACCACCCAGGTGCGGCCGGCCAGGGAGGGACCACGGGAGGTTGGCTCCAGGGAGTGCCTGGCCATCTTGCCAAGTCCCAGTCCCGCCCTGCTGGCCTGTAGGGATCCAGCGAAACCGGCTCTCTGACATCCCCCAAGGGGTCGGAGATTGCAAGAGGGTGCAGGCCAGGCCAAGGGACCCTACTGGTGCATGATGGGGGCCAAGGAGGGAGCACAGGAGGGCTCCAGGGCGGGTCCGTCCCGTCTCACCCATTCCCAATCGGCTAGACCCCCAGCAGCAAGCTAACCTACCTGTCAGAGCGTCTGCCCCCTGGTGGCCAGTACGCATCATACCAACTGGTTGAACCGTCGAACGAATGGTCAGACACTTCGCATATTAGGCTTTTATTATATAGGATTGTTATTATGTATTTCTTGTCTCTTAAATAGTTTAAGTTAAAAACTTGCCTTTTTATTTTAAAAGTAACTAGTCTTTTGATTTAAATGTTCACCACACTAATATACTCTGCTCATTTAAAGAGTGGTGCTCCAAGTATATTCTGTAGGCCTCTGGGGTTTCCCTAGAACCCTTTCTTCTCAGGAAGCCCATGAGGTCAAAACCGTTTGTTTTGTTTTTAAATATATTTTATTGATTTTTTACAGACAGGAAGGGAGAAGGACAGAGAGTTAGAAACATTGATGAGAGAGAAACATCGATCAGCTGCCTCCTGCACACCCCATACTGGGGATGTGCCCACAACCAAGGTACATGCCCTCGACCGAAATCGAACCTGAGACTCTTCAGTCCACAGGCAGACACTCTAGTCACTGAGCCAAACTGGTCAGGGCCAAAACCATTTTTATAGGAATATTAAGGCAGTGCCTGCCTTTTTTCTGACATTTGCAATCTTCTATCTATATGTATAAAAAGCTGAGCAACCAGCCGGTAGCTATGACATGCACTGACCACCAGGGAGCAGACACTCAATGCAGGAGCTGCCGAGCAACAGCAACTTTGCAGAGTACCCTCGCACACTCCAGGCCCCCTGGGAGGATGTCAGGCTGTTGGTTTCAGTCCGATCCCTGCAGGCCAGGTAGAGGGACCCCACCTGCTGGAGGGACCCTGCTCACTCCACAGACCACAGACACCCTTCGAGCCCTGGTGCCACCCCAGGTGCAGCTGGCCAGGGAGGGACCGTGGCAGGTTGGCTCCAGGGCGTGTCTGGCCATCTTGCCCAGTCCCACCCCACCAGCCACCTTCTAATTAATTTCCTTTCAGTGTGCATGAATCCATGCACCAGGTCTCTAGTAGTCATTCTATTCTTCACCGCCACTTGCAGTTGAAAAAAAAAACTGCTTTGCTTAAGAACATCCTTGATAAAGCAGTAGAAATTTATAGTGTTATTAAACTTTGATCATTCTCCTTATATTTTGAATAAATGGAAAGTATGCATTAAGCACTTTTGCATTCTAAAATGTGGTTAAGGAAAAGCACTTCTGACTTAGTTGTGAGCTGAAGAAGCCCTTTTTTTTCATAGAATAACATCTTTATTTGATAGTACAACTGTCATTGTCTCAAAAACAAAAAATGAGCCTGGCACTTCAAGGAAAATAATTTGTATGTTTGTTGCCAATGACACAATTCAAGCTCTCAAGCTAAAAGTCAGAATTTGGGAAAATATGTACCTTCTTTTGTGAGCTTGACAGCTTTTCAATACTTAAGATTGGTGGTGATACTAACAAAAGTGAGCTTTTGCCACTTTATAAAGAAATGTGAACCAATACTTTCCAAATGACCAATACATAATATTATAATAAAATCATGTGCAAATAAAACATTCATTAAACATACAAGATAGATCAATGGGTATTAATTTAACAAATTACCTACTATAAGTTTGTGGATATGATTTTAAATTCCATTGTAACTAATGGAATCAGTCCAGCACTTATGGACTTTTGGCATGGTATCAAAGAATATCCACAATTATTTGAAGGCTTTAGAAATACACAATTTTGTGCCTATATAACTACATGAAACTGGGTCTTCTTCATGTTGGTTTTTCAAAACAAATGACTGAAGTAATTGCAAATGATTGAAGACAGAGCATACATGAAAATCATCTGTCTTACAGTAAGCCAGACATTAAATAGATTTGCAAAAACGTACAATAAATGACACCCTTTCCACTCATTTTTTTGTTGCGAAAAATAATTATGTTAATACTATGGTCCTCAATCAGGGGTGATTTTGTCCCCCAGGGGACATTTGGTCATGGTTGGAGAGATTTTTCTGGTGTCACAATGTGGACTGAGGAGAGGCTGTTATTGGCAACTATTGAGTAGAAGGCATAGAGAGGCCAGGGATGCTGCTAAATATCCTCTAATGCACAAAAATTATCTAGTTCAAAATTTCAAGAGTGCTATAAAAATCCTGTTTAAACATACAATGGACTTATTTTTAAATTCTCAATTTTAATTTCTAATACAAACAAATACTCTTTGGGATCCACAATAACTTAAGCATTAGAGTCCTAAGACAAAAACAAATGATTCACTTCAATAATGTAATAAAAGCACTCTACAGTTCACTCCAATAATGTCTATAGTTATTTCCTAACACTAAACTTGATAGCTTGTAAATTTACTGCTAGATTAACAAGACAGGTTTTTAAACTCACCTGTTCTTTATGTGGTAATATATTGCTAACGTCACACTGTGGAGGAAAAAAAATTGTAACAATTGTAATTTTAATATGTTAGGTATGAGCACATTTTTAAAAAGGGGTTAGAGTAGGGGAAGACCTTCCCAGATGCCCAGGGGCCTTGAAATCCTCATTCAGAACAGTATCCATATGGGTACTTTTCCCCTTGTTTTAGTTCTTTGGCTTTTAGCAAAAATAGGAAAACCAAAAGCTAAGTAATATGCTGTTAGAAGACATATTTGGGTTGATTATTATAATATATAAGTTATTACATATTTCCCATCATTTGCCCTTTCACCCATAGAACCTTTCATTCTGTACAAGTTATATTTGTGCACATGATTCAATTTAAGCTATACAGTAGTTTTTGTGCTTTTTAAAGAAGGTTGTTAGGCTCGGCATTTCAGTTTATTTAGTTCACTATCCCACCCATTTCCATCATTTCTGTAAAGGCAAATAAAGTGCCCTATATCAAATAAAATCTTAAGAGCAAATATAAGAACCCACAAAGTAAACAGTCTATCCTGAAATAAGCAGTGCTAACAATGCAGCATAATACTACAGTGTAACATTTAATAAGCTACTACCAAGGTAGCCTAAATGAAATATTAATGAGCAGGTGTAAATCCTCAGATACTATGTAAGTTATTGTATTCCTAACTGAATAACTGCATGCTATTCAAAGATACTGTGTACTACACACCAAAGGGGTTTTCTTGGTTAAGTTATATGCTTTTCCTCTTTGTCCTCAAGTGTCTAAAATGAAGCTCAAAATAATTGAGGGAAGGCAAATCTGAACTTTATAACTAGGTCTATATAATATTAGCACTTGTAAAAAAAGGCTCATACAATTGTTAGCATCAAAGATGGATACTTCTATAGTGCTTCAGTTTCATCTTCAAATTGATTTGAAAATCAGAGAATTCAAAGCATAAAATTTCAAAGCTGAAAATGACCACTGAACCTTAGATAACATTTAATTCAACAAACCATTTTACAGAAGGGAACCAAGGCTTACAACGGACTTGCTCAAGGTCCCACCAATAACTAGAAGCAGTTCTCTTTCCCCTACAGGCCAACCAGGCAGTGGTTCCCAAGCTTGGCTGTACACTGGGATCATCTGAGGAGCCTTAAAAACTGCCTGTTTCCATCTCTAGATGTTCTGATTTAAACGGCTTGGGATTCTTTTTAAAGCTCCCCGGGTGATTGCAATGTGCAGCAAAGTTTGGGAACACGTGAATCAGGATTAAGATCAGAATCACCCTGGATACTTTTGCTCATAGAATCATGCCAAATATCCTACTGATTACAGGGTGAAGGGGAATGGGAGGAGGGGGAAGAGGGCCTAGAGGAGATAAGCAGTGATGGAAAAAATAAAATAAAATGATCAGAATCACCATGGATGCTTCTGTTCATATAGTCATGCCTCACAGCCTTCCTCAGCTTATCAAAAGGCTTGTGGAGAGTGAGAGTGTGTGTTGAGGAAGTGGGGGAGATGCATGATTTAGAGACATATTTTGGAAAAAAGTTGCATAAGTGATTCTAATAAGGCTCACCCACCCCATTGAGAACAATGTACTACTATCCCATGATAAACATTTTTCAAAATCATCCCTAAAAGTCAAGTAGCTCTATTAATTTTCTCAACCTTTATTTCACCAATAGTGAATGTCCTGAATGATCATTTTCAAAACTTAATGAGATCAAATTAAAACTTACTGTACTTTCAAAAATTACACTAATTTGGAGAAATAAGTATGAAACCTACTTGTCTGAGCAAGGTTAATCTTTATATGCTGTAACATCAGAATCTTTTAAATTCAAAAGAATCTGCAGAATGCAGCCAACGTCGAGTGGTTTCTTACTCATGATTTAGTGCCTTGGCTGAATAAAAATATTCAGTGATTACTCAATAGGTGCCAAAGCTCAGGACTTTAGAGAGAGATGAGGCTCCATTTTTGCCAAAACACAATTTGATCTCAACTATTGTTATAAGTAAGAGAAGTTCTATTATTATGATTGTGAAATTGCTAGTTTTAATTAAAGTAAAAGTACTGATAATTTAATTAGCAAAGAAGCTGGTACATTAGAAGCAAAATTAAAGTTATGAACTAATTATGTTTTTAAGACTGAAAAATAAAATTAGGGATGAGGATATCAATATTTTCAGACAGCATGTCCCAAACTGTGTTCTGGAAAATAAACACTCATATTCCAAGGAGACTTTGATTATATTCCTTGGACAGCTCCAGTGGGCAGTCAGGAAGCTCTACATCCTGTTTTGGTTTAGTTCCCTTTTAAATATGCTTGAAAGATTCATATTAGGGTATTTTTAAAGTGCATCTCCACCAATTGTGGACTATGTGATACTCCTAGAAATATATGAATAGTTTTCATTATCAAGACATGCTGTTCACGTTTGCTTAAGTATAAACCTGACAATGGCTATGTTTCCAAAATTTCACCTTTCTCATTTTTTTCTGTTGTGATTTTTCTTATACATGGATTGATTTAGGGTCTTGGAGATATATACTGATTTCATGCATTTCTCCCTCTTTGGGGGATAGAAAGGAGAAGTGAATTTTTATACAGAAATAGTGCAGAGGAAAAAAGGAAAATGGGGAAAATCTGACAAAATCCAACTAAATTTAAATGCACATACACTCTGGTGCCAGTAGGGGACAAACTGTTCCTCCTTCCAAGAGTAGCTTCCAAAGTAGTACTCATTGTTTTAGGTCTATGTCTCATAAAGAAATATTTTTTTCCTAGAAACATCCAATAAAAAGCACCTCTCCTTTTCATTATGTTCAATAATGTCTTAACAACAGAAATGTTATCAGGTAAAGGTAAGTAATTTTTCTGGGATTTCTTATTTGCTAACTGGACTTCCTTTCTTCCATCCACTCTAAGGTTAAAATAAAAATTGAAAATTCATATTTAGGTCCTTGCAATCAATATATAGTTGGCATCAGTTGCTTAACCTGGTCACTAAAAAGGACAATCAAATGACTGAAATTATGTGTGGCTAGGATGCTTTTAGCATAACGGGGTCTGTCACTCAGCCCTTGGCAACCTAGTTGTACTCACCATTGTACTGTGGTTCTAAGATTAGGCTGGCTGACTGTGCTGTCATCTAGAAATATAGTTGAGCATGAGCTATATTTTTTAGTAAGGTGCCCTGGAGATACCTGAAGGGGAAGGGAAATAGAAGAAAATGTCACAGTAAGTTAAACCTATAAAAGTGTGTTTTTTCCTTGGTTAAAATGTCAAACAAGCATTAAGATTCTTCTTATATTCCATGAACTGCTTACAGGGAATCCCCCTCATTAAAAAGGAAACTTCTCTAGGGAAGGGAGGACTTGTCTCTTCTCCTACCTCCAGAATCTGAGACAAATTAGAAGTTCAACTAGTGTTTGAAAAATTATTTGAAATTAATTACAACTGGAAGGTAAATCTTAACTACAAATACAAATTAGAATTTATCTGCAGTGGTATTGGAGAGGTGACAATGAACTTTTTGAGGCCCTCCAGAGAATAATCTACCTTCAAAACACTTTAGAAGTATCCATTTATTTTAGAATTATCCATTGATTTGTAAAAAGCCCAATAATACAGCAATGATCAAATACTGAAATAGCCTAAACTATGTTAGGACAATTCTCTTCCTTAAAGGCCAATAACTAATCCCAATCACTGTAAGTAGCTGAAAGTAAAAGTAGCATTCTTTAATATTACAGAATAGCAACAATTTTAATATGCTTGTTTTTATTGTATTTTAAAAAAACTAATTCAGATGAGCCTTCCTTCCTTGTATCAATATAAAATAGTTTTTATCATACTGCCATACTTTCCCATCAGTATGCCCCACAAATACTCAAAATATGGGGTAGGGACAAAATCTAGTTTATGCCTTTTAAAATACAGAACATTTAAAAATTGCCAATAGCCAATAATCAGAAATATCTATATATTACATAAAACACCATTTCACTTGTTTCAGATGTTTCACTGCAAAGCCACTTATTCCTTATTAACCAAAAGTTCCAGAGAGTGCATTTTTGAAAAGTAATATTTGAAGGGACAAATTCTCCTTGAAACTAGAAATGCTTTAACTATAGCTAAAACTCTGTTATTATTTAAGCTATGCAGTTAATGTAATTTACTTTTGGGATCTCAAAAAACAAATACAGCATGAAATATGAAAATTCATTCAAATACTTTTATTCTAAATGAAAGGTTATCTTTTAAGGTCACTAATATTAAGGTGTAATGTGGCATTTAATACACCATAACAAAGTCTAACTATGACTAAAACTTATACATTGGGGAAGTATGAAGAACAGGCGAAAAATGCACCAAAATACAGATGAGTTGGTAAAGGTTTGGGTGATATTTGCTCCCCTTTTCTCTATTTAAATTTTTTTCTTTTATAAATGTATATTGGTTTCTCTTTGAAAATATTAGTGCTAACACATTTAATATTCATAATTAGACATGGGCTTATAGCCTCACAGGGGTTCATTTAGTAAATTAGCAACTTATAGTATACTGGATAGATCCAGCGAAAGAAACATTCAACACTTGCTCATCACTCCAGGCCTACTCCCAACTATTCAAACTTTCAGGATCAAATATCTAGTATTCACTACAGGGTGGCAGAATTAAGCTTCTGAGCAAAGCCTGGATACATTGGCGCCAGCAGGTTCCTTTCCCCTTATCTTGCTTGAAAACTTAAGACAAATGTCCTTTACGGTTAAAGCCTTACTGTTGCTGGCCTACAACCTCAAATACACTACACTGACAAAGATAAAAAAAAAATGCAAATACAAAAAAAAAAAATTAAACAGCCAAAACACTACTGACAATTTAGTGTTGATGGGTATTATTAAAGTTAGTCACTAGGATAGACAGGGACAAAGAGTCATACTTTATCTTCATTTAACACTAATGACAGAATAGATGGACTTTGACAATCTTTACAAGAAAGTGAAGGGGTTGCTAAGTAGACTACGGTCCAATGGCAAAGACTAGAAAAATAATCATACCTAGAAGTCTAATAAGTCACAATCCAAACCCTACTATTAAAGATCAAGTACCTGTTGAAATTCTGCTTCCACCCATTGTGCTCACTGCCTCATCTTAACCCATTAAAAAATAAAGCCACTTACTTTTTTCCACTTTTTCACAAGTTGTGAATATTAAGAATTAAGGACTTTTAATTAACTTAAAATTTCTAATACTTTCTGCATTAATGAAAACTGCTCCATCTATGTTGCATATAAATGGGACAATATGGCAGGGTACATGGTTTAAATAGAATTCTTAATTAAGGCTTTAGTAGAAAAGTGTAGTATGCTAATTATAGGTATAGCCAAAAATATTCTCTGAATTAATATCATTGAATTAAAACTTTAACTTTAAACTTAGAACCTACATTTATTTTTTTAATGTTTTTAATGATTTTTCTTTCTTTTTTTTTTTAACAAGAAAGGGAAGGAAGTGAGAGGGTAGAGAGGTAGAAACATTAATCAGAAATAAACATCAATCGGCTGTCTCCTGCACACCCCTTACTGGGGATCAAACCCATAATCCAGGCATGTGTCCTGGCAGGGAACTGAACTGGTAACCTTGTGGTTCATGGGTCGACACTCAACCACTGACTCACACCAGCCACGCTAGAACTTATATTTAAAGTGTAAATCTAAGTTAAACATGATGGACTGACCACAAATCTACATATTTCCTCTCCCCTTCCTTTCAGAGATATCTCATTAGAATTAAAGGCATAAAAAAAAGTTATACACAGTATAGGAGAAAAAAGCATGTAATTTTTAATGTTTGAAAGCTGAGGACTAGATAAAGGAGTGGTAATTGATATGGCAGAACAGAAGCAGCACAAACTTGGTGCCTATAGAGTGTGGCTGGGACAAGAATAAGAATGCCAGTTTATCTGACAGAACCAAAGGCCGGTTCCAAATTCAGAGGCTTGATCCCAAAATCCTGCAATGAGGACTATCAGTTAACAAAAGTCCTGCTCACTCCTGGTGCTTCCAATTACATCTTAAAATACAGCCAGAGACCACCACACATCTGAGGAAAGCCAACAAGCAAGAGAGACTGAAACAGGAAGAAGGAAATTAATGGGAGTGACAAAATGAAAACATTTAAAAAAAAAAAGTTCTTAACCTCAGAAAGACAAAAAAATTGCACTGGTGGAAAAACTAATGCTATAAAAAAAAAGTGACAGAATATAAGAGAACTCAATAAATTAAAAAGATAGACAAAACAAAGAATTTAATAGAAAGGTTGGAGCATAAAGTCAAACAAATCCCTAGGAAGTAGAACAAGAAGAAATGGAAAATAAGAGGGGGGGGAAAGGTTAGAAATTCATGCAGGAATACTGGTCTAAGAGTTCCAACTTCTGAGTAATACAAATACTAGAAAAAATAAATACAGAAAATACATATATTTTTAAATTCACTGCCATAAGTGAAGATCTGCAGGCTTAGTGGCCACACAAAAAAAATGAAAAGGAACATACTAAACCATACTATGAAATTTCAAACTTCCAGGAACAGAAGGTACTAAAAGCTTCCAAAAGGATGGGGGGAAATGATTAAAATTGTAATATACAATGTATCATATAATGTCAACAGATTTAAGATAATGCCAACTCCGCAAATAAGAAAACAGTAGAAATGGTTTGGAACTGCAAAAATTAGTTGCAACCTAGACTTCTATACTTCAAATAGGAGGCATTTCAGAAAGGCCAGATCTCTAAAAACTTCTGCCTATGTACTCTTTCCAAGGGAAATGTGCTCCAATGAAATAAGGGAGTATAACAAGACAGAGGGAACATAGAATCGAGGACATAGGCGATCCAACACAAGACAGCAGTTATGTGAGATCTCAGATCACTTCAAGGAGATATGCCAGGAAAACAGGCACAGAGCAGGTCTAGGGAAAACCAGTTTATACTAGAGTGGGATGATAAAAGCTAAGGAATGTTGTTTCCAAAAAATAAAAATAAAACAGATGGAAAATATTTTTGATAGGCAGGTGACAAATGTCACAACATTTGGAGGGAAAATTGTTAGAAAACAGGCAAGAGAATATAGTCAGGAAACTAATTCCACACACAGAGAAATGAATAAGTATTAAGTTAATGTAGCATAAATGTAGTATTTCTGTCTGATGGTCATCTCTGTCAAATTGCTACAGAAAATGTGTGTGTGGTGGCAGTTGTGTTTTGTTTTGTTTTGTTCTTTCTTTGCAGCAGGAAATCCAGCCTACTTACTGCATTTGGCTATGTAAAATCTTGGCTAGGAAGAGAGGCATTAGATTATCCTGAAAAAGTATAGAAGTGCCTAGATTTCAGTTATACTTGAGAAAAAGAATGAAGGGTATCCAAGGAAGTGGCACAGCCAGAGAACTATAAGGCTCAACAGTAAAAAATATTTTTATAGTCATAATAATGTAAACACTGATTCTTTAATAAAAACCATGTAACATGCTGAGGGAACAGAGGGAGGAAAATAAGATCATGGTAGAGAAAGCTAAGATTCACCTGCTATGACAGGAAGTCAATAAATAGTGCTAAAAATTAACTTAGCTATTATACTTTTGTTACTTTTTTAAAAAAAATAAGATTTAAAAATTAAGGCTAAAAAATTATAAGGTGTATCTTTAAACCACACCATGTTATTAAAACTTAAATGTCAGAACCCTTTAAAAATGAGCATTACTAACCTGAAGACTTCCTGAATACATATTTGATAATTATGAAAACAAAAGAGATTTATAAAATCTACAAAGAGATGTCCATACTAATGGTACTGGGTCCATTATATTTTCTAGGAATCATCACAATGTTTACTTCAAACTGTTAGTTTCTTACTTTTCAACTGTTTACTTACATGGTTTACATAGTTGTTCTTCTTCTTTTCTCGCACTAAGAATAAAAAAAAAATTAACTGATCAATTCTGATACAAATGCCATAGAAAAGTAAAGTTGCTGATTATGTGACAGATTACCAATATACAAAATTCCATTCCATTTTAAAAATAATTTTTAACAAAAATTATAATTTAAATCACCTGGCAAGATGAGCTCCACAAAGTAAATCTAAAAACTTAGTTTTACTTTTTGACCTAACAGATATTCTGTAATAGGGGCAAAAATCACAAATTCAATCTTCATATATAAACTAATTTTTTTATTTGTTCAAAATGGAAACCTAATTGGGACCTAAATCCTATCACTCATCTTTAAAACGTATGCTCTTTGGAGCAAGGGGGAAAGGACATAGCTGTTTGGAGGAATTGGCCACATCTAAATCATGTGGCCAATTGACTGTGTTGATAAAGAGGTGGCAAAATGTGTAAACAGATAGCTACCAGTTCTCACTGAATACTTTCTCTAATACGAAAACAAAAACAGTTTCAAACTTCTCAGAGGAAAAAAATATTCTCTTACCATCCGTTTGAGATTTATTCAAGAAAATTGTGCTTGCCCTTGGATGGTCAGAAGGGTTTGATTCCAAAGCTAACTCTGTATAAAAAGAAGAGAAAAAGACATGCTAATTTAGTTGAGTAGAAAAACATATGATTTTAAAAACAGCTACACATCAATATTAATCACTTTTAACAGTGTTAGTAATGATAACAAGCCAATTTTAGTAAAGGCAACAATATGAAAATTCTCCTGGAAAAATGTAAAACTATAGAATCATTTTATACATTGGAATAAAACCAGGCTATGTCTTAGACTTTTTTAAAAACTTGCACCTAAATAATTTATCCAACTTTTACACGAATCATATGTGCTTTCCTCCTACTTATCGATTAAAAATACATAGTCCCCTCATTTATGCTGATATTACCAGCACATTCCAGGAACAGTCTCAAGAAGCAAATTACGCTGTGGCCAGTTACTGTCAGATACCAACCAATATATTAAATATGCCAAAACCAAGTGAGTTGTTTTGGGCAAATATCCGTTAGACATTTAAGCTAATTCTAACTTTATTCAACAAATGAACTTAGTTAGCTGTGGCTTATTTGGGGGCTATACATCATGGCAGATTTAAAAGGAAAGCATAAAAGTTCCATGTTCTAATCAATAGGAACACTTTTATGAGAGCAATTTTTAATACTTTCATAAAAGTGATTTTAAACGTTTTGCCCTCAATTTCCAAAGCTAAAAAGTTCTACTTCTTCCTTCTATGCCACATAATTATTTTGGGCTTCAATAAGAATACTTTCTGGAGCTGGTCATAGGGCTGCTTGTAAAAAAAACTGTGCTGTACCTATGTAAGTGTAAGTCTGACTGCAGTCCAGCTTGCACCAAGGTGGGATAATCTATTTCAGCCAGAATACAAAAAAAGTACCTACATTTCCATTAAACAAAGTTTACCACCATACAAAATAATAAAGTTGTCATTAAAACAAAGAAAAAAGAAATCCCCTATAGTACTCAATAATGTCCAACTCAAACCACTTAACCAATCTTATAAGAAAGTGGACCAACATCCTGATCAGAGGAATGGTTAAGGCACTATTTCTCTAACCACATAATAATGGTTCTATTTTTTAAAAGGATGTTTTTACACTGTAACACTGTTACTTAGGGAATCAAAATGCACACTGCTATGTTAAAAACTAATCAGTCCAATAATGAATAATGTCTAACAGCATTTCACAAATTTATCTAACTAGAATACCTTTACCCTCCAAGTAATACAGTTATAATCTTGCACAAACATAATTTGGGACTTCCTGGTTTAACAGGAATCTGAACCATTCATTTTACTGGTACTGCCAGCACTGGAAATTTATAGAGCTAAACCAACTGCTTTGTTTTTTAAGGAAATTCCTTCAAGTTTATTAAACTGCTTCTGGAACTTCTATTAAACATTTTTATGTAAAAAGCCCATAAAATTATTTTAAAGACTTTTTCCCACATATTTAAAAAATGTGACAATGTTATCTACTTGAAAAATAAATTAATTCAGTTGACAAAGTGACAGAGACTTCCACAGCTGCTTCTAACCTCAGGCTTCTGAAAGGATTCAGGACTATTTCCTGACAAAAATAAAACAAATATATTGCATCTGAACCTAAAAAATAAGCAGAAATGTTTGCAGAAGTAGCCACATTTTGTATCAGTGCCTATGGCATGATAAAGGTTTTTAAATTTAGTGACTGACTGCCTTAACCAGTGTGGCTAGGTGGATAGAGTGTCAGCCCTTGGAATGAAGGGTCCCAGGTTCGATTCCTGGTCAGGGCACATGCCCGGTTTGAGGGGTAGGTCCCTAATTTGGGATGTGCAGGAGGCAGGTGATCCATGATTCTCTCACATCATGGATGTTTCTATCTCTCCCTCTCCCTTCCCCGAACTCTCTATCTCTCTCCCTTCCTCTCTGTAAAAAATCAATAAAATATTTTTTTTTAAAGAAAAAGAAAAAATATGGGAATCCTCCTACCCTACACAGAGAGTTCCAGAGTGGGTTCATGCCCCAGGGCTGGCCAACCAATCACAGCTGGCCTGGGACCTCCCAAGAACCAAAAGAGAAATACAGAGCTGTAGTCAGGATCCTTAGCTGGACGGGAGTTGTGATGCTCCCTTTTCCATCAGGAGGTAGAAGCCTTTTCAGTAGAGATCAACAGGAGAGCAGAACTGAGACAAGTTCTGAGAAAATAATTTAATTCCTGGATCAAGGTTTTTATTCTGTAAATTCTAGTTATACAAACCAATACTTTTTTAAAAATTTAAGCTATTTTGCAATAGAGTTCCTTCAACTTGCAACTAAAAGAGACCTGGTTAATCAGCAGCATGGATGATCACACTGAAGGTGGGAGCAGGTAAAAGCCATTTGCTCATTCCTTTAACATATATCATAAACCAACATTTGTAAGAGCCAACATAATGCTTTGTTTAAAAATTACCCATATAACCTCACAACTGTCAGAATGGCTGGCTATCATCAATAAATCAGCAAACAAGTATTGGCAAGGATATAGAAAAAAGAGAAACCTCATGCACTGTTGGTGGGAATGCAGACTGGTGCAACCACTATAGAAAACAGTATGGAGGTTCCTCAAAAAATTAGAAATGGCACTACTTATGACCCAGTGATTCCACTTCTGGTAATATATCTGAAGAAACCCGAAACACTAATTCAAAAGAATATATGCACCCCTATGTTCATTGCAGCATTACTTAAAACAGCTAACATTTGGAAGCAACCCAAGTCCCCATCAGTGGATGAGTGAATAAAAAAAGCTGTGGTACATTTACACAATGGAATACTATTTAGCTGCAAAAAGGAAGGAAATATTACCTTTTGAGACAGCATGGATGGAAAGAGGGTATTATGCTAAGTGAAATAAGCCAATCAGAGAAAGACAAATACCATATGATTTCACCTATCTGTAGAATCTAACCAACAAAATAAACAAACAAAATAAAAACAGACTCATACAGAGAACAGACTGACAGCAGTCAAAGGGAATTGAGGTTGGAAGGCTGGTTAAAAAAAGGTGAAGGAATTAAGCAGTACAAATTGGTAGTTGCAAAATAGCCACAGAAATGTAGATTACAGCATTGGGAATATAGTCAATAGTATTGTATGGGGCCAGCTGGGTATTTTTGAGGCAGTGGTACTAACCACTTTGCTGTACACTGAAACTAATACAGAATAATATTGGGGGAAAAAAGACGATATCCTTTTCTATAAAAATAACCAAATTGAAAAAATCAATATATTAATATAAGCATATTGTTTAGGGGGAAATATTCCTAAATATTTTAAATAAATTTAAAAATTGAAACTTAAAAAATATAAAAATTACCCATATACTCACAACCATTACTATTAGTTGATTTTCTTATATGTACTTCGTTTTTAAAGAAAGCTGTAATCAGTATTCAATTTATTTCCTATTGTGTTACAAGCTATCTCTACCTCATTGCAGCATATTTACTGTTTAATGTCATAATAGCCCATAAAGTTATTCCCAGGCTTTACTTAGCCAATCTCCTATTGGGGTTTAAGTACTTACAAAGTTCTACTCTTATAACACATATGGTGTTTTTTAAAACAAGTTATTTTAATCTCTGTAGGAAAGATCTTCAAAATAAGATGACTAGACCAAAAGATTAGATCATTTTCATGGCTCAATATATAATACAAAGTTGCTTTCTAAAAAGGGTGGCAGCATATTACAGTATAATGCCAACAATCATACCAGTTTTAGCTCCTACTCCAGCACTGGATACGTGAAAAAAAGTCCTAGTGATGTGAATGAGGAATCTCATGGTCTCTCTAATCTGCATTTCTTTGATTATAGTTTGGCCACAGTTAACAGTGCTATATCCACTTTGGTGAGTTGCCTATCATTTATATGTATTGGCACTGTATGTACTGTACCCATTAGAGACCTAATGTTGTCAATTCGCATGAGACTTTTATAAAGTACTAGAGGCCCGGTGCACAAAAATTTGTGCACTCGGCGGGGAAGGGGGTCCCTCAGCCCGGCCTGTGCCCTCTCGCAGTCTGGGACCCCTCGGGAG